ATTAAAAACCCTTGGGCTTTGATTTCTCAAAATTGAGCTTTGAACCATGATATTCTATATGTTTACAAGTGTTTTCTGGAAATTCAGCCCAAGAGGATCGGTTTTGATGCTTTTAAACTTGAGTTTGAGCTTGGAGGCGCAATCTGGGATTTCCAGATTTTGCACTCCCGCTCGAGCGGGGGAAGTGGCGCTCGAGCGGGGAATTCGAGCATCCAGCATCTCTGCACTGTTTGACTATCCGCTTGAGCGGAGGACTGGGCGCTCGAGCGGAGTCTTGTGTCTCAAGCTCGAGCGGGCGTCGAGCGTTCGTCGAGCGGAGATTTCACCCATCCAGTACTTTTATAGGACGCTCGAGCGGGAAAGTTGACGCTCGAGCGTGTACCTTTGTTGCATGTCCGCTCGAGCGGGGAAACCTGCGCTCGAGCGGGACTCTGTTTTTCTGAAATTTCTGAAACTGTTTTCTGGTCACATCTTTGCATCCTCATCCCATTCTAGGCATTCTTAGGCCTAGTTTAAGACATCTTTGAGGGCATAGATGTAGAACACACCGAGGCAATTAGGGATTTAGTTATTATCTTTTCCCAGCTGTGTAGCTTAGTGTGTTCAATCTGTTAACTGTGTAGGGTTGGCGACTGGGGAGACACGCTCTAGTATATTGTAGCCCAAACTCTGTGAGTAACGATTGTGTAAAGATATGTTCAAAAATGATTATTTTCTGAACAACTGAACTGTACTGTTTCTGAACTGATTACTGTTAACTGAATGAATATATGTCCTATATTCTGAACTGTATTGTGGCATCCTTAGCACCTACTGTTTACTGTTACTGTGACAGAATTCTCTGTCGGTTTCCTTGTTGGAACCACTACTGTTTACTGACTGATGGCCATCATTACTGTTCGGTCTTTTAAGACCTACTGTTTACTGTACTGTTACGCTAATGGGTGTACCACATATGACTGTACTGACTGAACGACTGAAATACTGTTTAAATGAACTGTTTTCATTACTGTAAGGACATTCATTCTTAACCTCTTTACGCATTATGTTATTCACTGGGCTTTAGCTCACTGCTTATATATTTATGTAGGTGTACAGGCACCAGACCGCAGCTAGAGGCGTCAGGGCTACTCCAGTTTTGTCAAGCCAGCCTATGTGCCTCACTGCGAGGTTCCGAGCCTATTATGTCAAGGCTTAGGGGTGTTTTGCAATCCCCCCCCTTCTGTATCGTCTTACTGTTCTGTATAGACTGAATGTCTACTGTACTGTTATGCAGGGATTGAGTCCCTAGTCTGAATGATTGTAAATGTTGTGCATACTGTTCTGTACTGTTTATGTATATATGCATGGAAAGTCTTTTTGCATACAGACTGTCACAGCTCATTGGGCATTGTTTCTTTACTGTATTGGCTTCCGCCAGGCCCTGTACTCTGTTTTACTGTACTACTGTCCTGCAGGCCTTCGGTAATCTCGGATTACTGGCCGGTTATGGTGCTAAACCCATAGGGCCGGGTTTAGGTCGTGAAACGACCCTAAGGCACCAAATGCCACTCTAATAAGACATGGCAAGGCATGAAAAATGGCATTCAAACATGCAAGTTTCAGCAACAAAACATGACCCAAAACAGCCCCGAATCATAGGAATATGGCACCCGATGCATGAAATGGTCCCGAAATGCAAGATTAAGCTCATGAAATGACTTGTAGCTACATCAAGCATGCATTATTTGATCATGACATGTGAAGACAGATTCAAGGCAGCCCCAAAACAAGCATGTTTACAGTTCTAAGCAAGGCCAAACAGCAAACACAAATAGGGCAAAACTAGCATGCAAAAATAGCCCTAAATGTGAGATAAAGAAGCAACTCACAGGTGCTGACCCCAAACAGATTAGGACCCTTCAACAATGTTGAAGAGGGGCCCAAAATATGATGTTTTACAGTTTATGGCAAACCACAAAAACCAACACAGATATGGCTAAGCTCTCATGCAAGAAAAGGGCCAAAAGATGGACAAAGAAGCAAGTAGTGGTTGCTGGCCTTAAACACAAAGGGGCCCTTCAACAATGTTGAAGAGGGACCAAAAATAATGCACTTTACAGTTGATGGCCGGACCCAAAACAGTATGCAAGAAGCTCAAAATGCTATGCAAAATAAGGCCAAAAATAGGGATATAACACAAAGTATATAAAATATGCCTCAAACCATGAAAGACCCTTAATGAAACATGAAGAGGGGGTCAAACAGTTCTTAAAAGAGACCAAAAACAGAAGCATCCGAGGCTAACAAATCATGCAAAAAAAATGGCCAAAAGAGAGATATAATGACAAGTAGTAAATGGAGGCCACAAACAGCAATGAGCCCTTCAACAATGTTGAAGAAGGGCTCAAAATAAGTAATTCTTCAGTTTATGACATGCATCAAAACAGATTATACATAAGCCTAAAATACTACGCAAGAAATAGGCATACAAGAGGGATAATGAAGCAAGTGCAAGATGGGGATCTCAAATGACAAAAGTCCCTTAATGAAACATGAAATAGAGCTCAAAAAAACACTACTTTCAGTTATGGTCGGAGCTCAGATCTACAAGAAAGAGAGGCTAAGAAATGTTACAAAAAATGAGCTAGAAAGAGGGAAATGGTAACTCACCCTTGTAGACCAATCTTTAGCAACTTCTTGGACCAAATTTGCTGCCTCCTAGCCTCTGAGAAGACCTCCAAGCTACTGGAAATGGAAGTGGTGGTGTGGTGCTAGGTGATGGTGTGTAAAAATGGTTAAGAACTTAAGGGGTTTTGAGGTTTAGAGTAGAGAGAGAGAAAAATTTAATGAGAGAGCTCAAAACCAAAATTTTCTAACCCCCCAACACAGCTGGGAGCTGCTGGTTTTATAAGCAAAAGAGTTGGAAAAGAGGGGGAAAAAAGAGGGGGAAAACAATTCAAGTTTTCCCCCAAAAAAGGCCAAAAAGTGGGATATAAAGGCAAGTGGTAGCTGCTGGACCCAAATGGCTGAGAGCCCTTCAACAAAGTTGAAGAGGGGTTCAAAACAAGACACTTTGTAGTTTATGACCAAGTCCAAAACAGCTCACAAGTAAGCCTAAAATACCGTGCAAAAATAGGCCTAAAAGAGCGTTAAAGAAGCAAGTGATAGGAGGAGATCTCAAACAGAAAAAGGTCCTTAATCAAACATGAAAAGAACCTCAAAATATGACTATCTCAAGTTCGGGTCGGAGCCCAAAAATGTAGAATGAAGGTTCGGAAGCGAAAACACGCAATTCGGGGCCTCGAAAGTGGGCTGTTAGGCACCGGAAGTTGTGTCCGACCACAAAGTTGGTCTCTCGGACCGCAGTGTCCCTCAAAAGGGAGTAAATAAGATGCATGCCAAAAAATGGAGCAAACGGAGGTGGTTAAACGGTCCCGAACCGAGGCACACGGCCAACGGCTCCGAAAAACTAGAAACCGGACTCCAAACGGGCAAAACGACCTACGACCACGAAACGTAGCCTACGGCCACTGAGAGATGATCTACGAGACCTCTCCCTCCCTTCGGGAAGAGAAAATAGAGAAAACGGAGCCTGGTTCGCAAACCGAGGCAAAGCATAAAAGAGTCCGGAAGTCCGGAGGTAAGGCTCGCAGCAGAGACTCTGAAACTTCTGAACGAGCACAATATGCAATATCACCGAGCGCTCAACTGGTGACGTCTGAGTCTCAAGGTCGGTCAAAAATGGGGTGTCTACAGGCTAGGGCCGAGCTGCAGGATCCATTCTATGGGCCGAACTGATGGGTTGAACCTATCATCAGAACCAAAGCGGGCTGAATGCATACACAAATATCTGAACGGTCAAGCCCATCCTAACAGAAGCCTCGCAAAGGGCCGAGTTGAGGCACAACAGTGCCAAGCTGAGAGAGCCTCTCAAAGAAATGTGAAAACTATGAGTATATACATGTGCAAGTTGCCACCTCAGCTGGTCCCCAACACCTAGAATCACGGAAGTAGTTAAACCAGAGGAATGTAGTTTGTTATCAGCATGACTACAATGAGTATAAGCACCTCTAGACAACTACCAGATGGTCCCCCACCTCGGGCCATGCTAAAAGGAAACTTGGCAGTATTAGAGCTCCATGAAACCATCTTGAAAAACAAGCAAGGAACTCTATATAAACTACATAACCTTCACATTGAAGGTAACTGATCCAAGTTGAACCCCACTTAATAAAAACTGAACTCTTTACACTTCTTCTGTAACGACCCCATCACGTATAATGATTAGTACTTGATTAATTATGAGGATTTGAAATTTAATTGCCGAGTATCATAATTTAATTTGGGATTTATGAGAATTGTGGGATCTGACTCGTATATGATTCTATTAAAGAGTTATTTTGGAATTAGAAATTAAGGGTCCAAATGGCTTAAGGAAGTGAAGTTAAGAAGTTGAATCAATCTAATTTTAATTACGGGCCCATTTGGGAGTTTAATTAAATATTCGATTTAGTTTAGTGAAATTGAGATTCGATTAATTAGGTCCTAATTGGAGTTGATTAAGTCATGAGGATTGAATATTGTGGTTGTTATAAATTAAATTTAATTATGATGTGCCCAATTTAAATATGTAATTTATTGATGGAAATTTGAGTCTGATCAGAAATTGAAGGCTTAGATGTTTTGGGGGATCAAAATTGATAATGATAATAAATTTAATTTAATATTTGGTGCCTTTTGGGAGTCTGACTAAAAATCTGATTCGGATTAATAAATTTAATATAATTAATTGGGCTATAATGGAAGTCAAATTAGATTGATTATGGTTATAATTAATTTAATTATGGGCCAACCAAGATTTAATAAGATTAAATGATGCTTAATTAAATTAGAATGCGATTTATGTACTCAATTATTCATACTCAATTAACTTGATGGAGCCAAATTGGGAGAGTTCTAGAAGAATTGAGAAAGTGGTGTGTGTGTGTGCGCGCGCATATATCCCTCTGCTGGAGCTTATTCAATTATTTGACACTCCTATCTAATTCCTTGACATTCTGATAAAGAGAGAAACAAGAGAGAGAGGGAGAAAACCATGAGAAGAAGAGAAGAAAAAGAATTCAAGTTTTGTGCTGAAATTGAAGGAAGAACTTAAGAGACTCAACAAATTAAAGTTCTAGGTAAGAAAGTTAAGCTTGATTCTTACAGATTAATCATTTAGCAATTGAAATCAAGGGGTAATTGGGTTTAATTTCATGACATAAGAAAAGAATGTAGAAGATTTGAGTTAAGTTTAATAATTAAGAAACTGATGTTGTGATTTAATATTTGGGTTTGATTTTCTTCATCCTTCACATATTTTTAGTTTATCCTTACATGCATTGTGAATTTTTAAGATTTTAGAATTTAATTCATATTTTAAAGGTTATGAGCTTGAGATTAAGTTGTGATATAAATTAAGAAGTCAAATTATAAATTGATTGAGGGTGTATTTGAGAGAATTAAAATAGAAAGTTGAGGATTAATTATATAAATTCATAGAAATTGGGTCTTGCATGTTTAATCAAGTTAGGTTGAAAATATGAGTTATGGTTCTTTAAATTTGTTATGTTTGAGTTTAATTTTGATAATCATTCATAAATTGGGTTCTATAAATTACATGCAACAAGAGTTTATTAAAGATTTGGCCATACAAATGAGTTAGGTTAATGATTATGGAAATCAATTTAGAAATTAATTATTCTGCATTTAATTTTTGTAATCTTGCATGAATTTGGGCCTTATTTCTACATGCGTGCAATTTGGAAGAATTAAAGAATAAATATGGGTTTTGATTTTAATTATTAACCCATGCATGAAATGTAATCTAAGAGTTTGACTCAAATTAAACATATTTTGGAACATCTATGACTATGAATTAAATTGAGGTTAAAATAAATTGAGTTAAGCTTGAGATTAAGGAAATGAGTTTGGAAAAATTTATCAAGTAAGTTAAATTTGTGTTATTCCTCATGAATTTGGACTTCATCTTTACATGCATCATGAATTAAGAAAGTTATGGAATCGGTCTCATGGATTTTGTAAGAAATAAGGTTTTAAGTAAGAAATTAAGTAGACTCATAGTTGTGGAAATTAATTTGGAAAATTAATTGTTTTGATTTGATTTTGTAGTATTTCCTTGTAATACATGAATTTTAAGGGGATCGAGCCATTTAAGTTCCTATTTTGAAGAGACAAAGGAAATGTTTTAAGAAAACCAAGTTTATGGAAATTTGGAATTAATCCTAAAGTTTTGATTTTATAATTAGATGTGTATTTAATCCATGCATGTGATGTAATTTAAGAATTATATTCAATTTAGATACATTTTTGAACACCCATGATTATAAATTGAGTTTTTGGTTAGAAATTGAGTTAAGTTGAATTTCTAAGAAATTGATTTGTGTAATTCATAGTTAAGTTGATTTTGTTATTAATAATAAAATGGGATCTATTTGTATTACATACGTCATGGAATTTCAAGAGGTTAGGAAGTCTAATTTATATTTTAGAATTGTGGGTTGATGTAAAGAAGATGAGTTAAAACTAGATTTGGACCATTGAAGCATGATTTTGAATGAATGATTTCTAATTGAAAGTGTTTACTCAATTATCCAATGGTTCTCCATTTTTGTGTACCAAAAATACATGTTTTGAGACTTTGAATATCAAATATGAACTTCAATTACAATTTTAGAAATTTCAGAATTTGTGTTGTCCGCTCGAGCGAGGAAAGCCTCGCTCGAGCGTGAAAATTGAGCTCCCAGTAGTTTTTTCAAAGTTTGCAGTCCGCTCGAGCGATCAAAGTGGCGCTCGAACAGAGACCCATTTTCAGCATATTTTGGAAAATTTGCATTTAGTTCACATTTTTATTCTTATCTCTTTCCAAGACATTCTAGACATGATTTATGACTCAATAAAGATTAATAAGCTACCAATCAACATAGATTAGTTAGTTGAAGAATGAATCATTGATCTAGTGGTAGTTGTTTAAGAAGCCAAGTAAGAGATCAATCTATTGGGAAAAGAAAGGCTTAGTAATGAAAGAATATGTGAAATAAGAACCCGGTTTATTTGAATGAGAAAGAATAAGCATAGTAGAACTTCGGACTGTTTAGACGGAAAAAGACTAGGAAAGTCAAGTTTGATCAAGGGAGTAATATTGTATTTCAATGTGTATATGTTATGTGCTTGTGTAGGTCATGCGCCATGATTTGCCTGATTTATCTAATATGTCCAGTCTGTCTGATTTGCTTCTGCAGCCATCTGTGAGTAATAACTTAGTAAAGTTATGTTCAACTGTACTTATTTTCTGTGTGACAAAATGAGATCTGTTTTCTGAAATGATATGTTCTGTACAATGAATGATTGTCCAATTTCTGATATCTATTCGTGACATCCTTAGCATCATGTGATATCTGTTAGCTGTTACCCGGTATCAGAGGTTCCTTTATGGAACTTAATCTGTCAGCACTCTGTTACCCGTACCGGAGGCCCCGTCATGGGGGCTTAGCTTCTGTTCTGTTACCCGGATCCGGAGGTTCCTTTATGGAACTGGTTATTTGTAACCTCACGTGTATACGTTCTGTTATGTTCTGTTCTGTTAATGCTAATGGATGTATCACGTATGCTTGCACATGACTTATGATTTCTGTCTGCATATGATCTGGACAAATTATGATTTTGATATGAAACTGAATTATGATTTTTGAATCTTTTCGGACTCATTCATTGAAACCCCTTTACTCTGTTATTGTTCACTGAGCTTTCGCTCACCGTTTATATTATGTATATAGGTGAGTCGGCGCGTGATCAGGGCCAGAGTTGACGTCCTTCATTTCTATTTTTGTTAGCCAACCTATGTGCCTCCCGTGGAGGTCCCAGATATGTCAAGTGATTATCGCTATGTGATTTAAAGTTTAAGTTCTGTTTTCTTGTTTGGTTAAACCAGTCTTGTGTATTTTCAAAAAGGTGCTAAGTCCTTTTTGTTTGATCTGTATATATATTATGACGTAGGGATGATGTGTTTATATGTATATGCAACGTTTAAAATTTTTCTATCTCATGTAAGTCTGCACAGCTCAATGGACGTTGTATATTGTTATTTGCTTCCGCTAGCCCCTAATATTATGCTAATTTGCCTCAGAGGCCTTCAGTAATCTCAAGATTACTGGCCGCTTACGATGCTAAACTTGTAAGGGCAGGTTTGGGTTGTGACATCTTCTCCGATCGCTGATTCTTACACCGGAGGGATTATCCGGCCAACCCCAGCTGGGCAGCTCTTACGGTGCTTCTTGCTGTAGGGATCTCATTCCCTGGATAGTCCAACCGAGTGCGGAGCCCCGATCCATTTTCATCTAGTACGGTATCCGGTATGCACAATTGGTGCGGTGAACGTGGACCACTTTATCTCTGAGCTCTGCACTCAGTTCTGGCGATGGGGATTGAGGACATCCCACCTTCGACACATACTCCACAGACGGAGAAGACAAAGGACAAAGACTTGGCACTCCCAACAGTCCTAGAAGAACAAACTGGAAATAATAACCGGACCCCTGAATCCGTCGAGCATCGATTGCCCTTCACTGAAGGTTTTTCTCATCACTTTCTTCTGGAAAAGGATTACAGAGATCGAATCATAGACTCTATGGGAATGAAGATACAGGAGCTGAAAGCGCAACTTAAAAGGGTGCTAGGTGATCCAACGGAAAAAAAGACTGAAGCAGAACCCTTTCGCTTACGATGGATGAGTTTATCCAGAGAGCCACCAGTGAAGAAGTTCCCCATAAATAAGTTTGGGAAACAAAGCCAGCCAGTCCCGATACAAAGTGAAGCGGCGAGTAGCCACACCCGTAGGTTACGCCGGAGAAGGGCTAAGAGGCAGAAGACGGTTAGCCAGACTGAGTACCCTCCTCAAGACCTTCGTACTTGGTTGATTGGTAACAAGCAGAACGAACAACGTCGGGATCATCTAGACCGTACCATTTACCAGAGAGAGCATCGAGCGCTGGATAGGCTTGTTTCCTCTCCATTCTTCCCAGAAATTGAGGCCATGAGACCCTCTAAGAAATTCACCTCGCCAAAGTTCACATTGTATGATGGGAAGTCAGACCCATTGATGCATATTAGCCATTATAGATAGATGATGTCTCTATGGAGCTGAGATGAGGCACTGATGTGCAAAGTCTTCCCGTCCAGCTTGGGAGAAACTGGACTTTGATGGTTCGATCAACTCCCCTCAGGATTAATTTATGACTGGAAGCAGCTATTCGAAGATTCTTAGCCAAGTTTGTCTCCAACACTAAGATCCCGAAAGAGCCAGATACACTGTTCGGTCTCCGAAAGGAGTAGGAAGAAATGATGTGCAGTTATACTAGGAGGAATTGGGAAGAATACAATGACTTGGAGGAAAACGTTTATAGTGAGTAAATGGCTGTTATATCCTTCAAACACGGTCTGCGCTCGGAAAGTAAGTTGAGACAGTCACTTACCAAGCGCCTGCCCACAGCATTGAAAGATTTACGTGCCAGGATTGAGTAGTACGCTTGCCTTGAGGATGACTAGATCCCCATCGAGGAAGCATCTGCAGAACAAACAGCTTGGCGCAAGAAAAGAACGGACTGAGGGGAACACCGGGGACTCGCAGTGAATGAGGTAGATAAGTCCAAATCTCATGAAGCAGTCGTGACCGTATTCAAGGAACCCATCTATCGTATCCTGGAAAAGATCAAGAGAGAGCCCTTCTTTATTTGGCCGCCGAAAATGTTGGGAGATCCCATTTGGTGTAATCAGAAGCTCAGATGCACCTATCACCAAGACATGGGGTATATGACTCAGAATTGCAGAGCATTGAGGTAACACTTGGAAGACCTAGTAGCAGCTGGACACCTCCGGGATTACATTGATCAGAATAAAGCAGTGACTAAGCCGGGGAACCCACCACCAGAATCGAACACTGAGTACCCACCTCGGCTGATAATAAATGAGATCCATGGAACAGCGACCCAGGAACGTGAAGAGGCACTGAAAGAAGAGATTGCTAAGGTTGTGCAAATTCAGCAGGTCATGTCAGTAGAGCCTTCATCAAAAAAGGTACGCACGTCACCCAAATCCCCCTTGTGCACTGTTTCATTTACTAGAAAGGATTTAGAAGGCATACAACACCCACATACTGATGCACTGATTATAACTGTGGGAATTGGGAAACGGTTTGACGTAAAATGAGTCTTGGTAGATCAAGGCAGTGCAACAGACATATTGTATTATGACTTGTTTAGAAAGCTTGGCCTCTCCGAGCAGCATCTTGCCCTAGCGGTAGCTCTGGTAGTTGGCTTTAATTCACAACCAGAATGGTCGCTTGGCAGAATAGTGTTACCTGTTATGGTAGGAACGAAGACCCTCCAGATAGAGTTTCTAGTTATTAACATACCTTTCCCTTATAACGCCATACTAGGCCGTCCATGGATTCACCAAATGGAAGCGGTCCCTTTGACTTGCCACCAGCTCATCCGTTTCCCAACGAAACACGGAGTAGAGCAGATCTCAGGGGATCAAGTTGCGTCCAAACATTGTTTCATGGCAATATTAAAGGCTAAGGAACTTTGTAACTGGATACAGACAGTGGAAATGGCTGAACAGCCAGTCTTGGAAGATGTAGGGGGAGCCCCAGAGGAAAAGATGGTAAAGGATTTGGAGAAAGTTCTGGTAAAGGAGGATGATCCAGAAAAGTATTTCCTTATCGGTACTTCGCTAGGCGCTGATAAGAAACTTCAGCTGCTTGAATTACTGAGGAAAAATATGGAGGTATTCGCGTGGTCGGCATATGATACTCCAGGGTTGAACCTAGAATTTTCTTGCCACAAACTCAACATCTACCCTTTCGCTCGGCCTGTCGTACAGAAAAGTTGGAGATCCTCAGTTGAGCACACTGAAGCAGTAATTGCCGAAGTCGAAAAACTCCTAGCCTCGGGAGTGATAAGAGAAGTTCAGTACCCACAATGGCTGTCCAACACAGTTGTAGTAAAAAAGAAGAATGGAAAATGGAGAGTCTGCGTTGACTTCACCTGCCTAAACAAAGCTTGTCCCGTGGATAGTTTTCCTTTGCCTCGCATTGATCAATTGGTAGACTCAACAGCAGGGCATGAACGCATGAGCTTTCTGGACGCTTATAGCAGTTATCACTAGATACCACTGTGCGGTCCAGATCAAGAGAAGACAACATTTATCACTCCAAGGGACACTTATTGCTACAAAGTAATGTCGTTCGGCCTCAAGAATGCCGGAGCAACCTACCAGCGAATGATCACCCGAATGTTCAAGGACCAACTCGAGAAGACCATGGAAGCATATATAGATGATATAGTAGTAAAAAGCATGCTCTCTACAAACCATCTTGCGGACTTAAGAGAAGTCTTTGGTATCCTGAAGAACCATCAGCTTTGCCTTAATGCCTTGAAATGCGCTTTCAGGGTAGGAACATGGAAGTTCTTGGGGTATATGGTCACCTATAGAGGAATCGAAGCAAATCCAGATCAAATCAAAGCAATACAAGAGCTTGAAGTGCCAACGAAGGCTAAAGAGCTATAGAAGCTGGCCGGAATGGCGGTCGCCCTGAGTCGGTTCATCAACAAGTCTTCAGACCGGATGAGGACTTTTTTCCAATTGTTGAGAAAAAAGGTAGCATTTGAATGGAGTCCCGAGTGCACCGAAGCATTGCAAAGTCTCAAAAGATAGCTCAGTACACCACCTCTTCTGTCCACTCCAAAACCAGGAGAGGAGCTGTACCTATATCTAGCAGTCTCAGATCGCGCCGTAAGCACAGTATTAATTCGAGAAGTTAGCAAGGAATAGAGGCCAGTATATTATATTAGCAAGACTTTACTAGATGTCGAGAAACGGTATCTACCCTTGGAAAAGTTAGCTTACGTGTTGCTTATTACCTCAAGAAAGTTGCAACACCACTTCCAGGGGCATACCATCAATGTCCTCACTGAATTTCCTCTCAGATCTGTATTCAGCCGAGCTGATTTCTATGGCCGAACAGCAAAATGGGCGGTAGAACTTGGTGAGTTTGATATTCGGTATCAACCCAGGACAGCAATCAAGGCCCAGGTCTTAGCAGATTTTGTCATAGAATTTGCTCCCACCCAGAGCACCGAGCCAGGGAGTCCTAGTCCGGCACGTGTGTCATGCACCACCGAGCAGGGGAAGCACTTCGCTTCAGAAGCACGAAAACTCTTTATTGGAAACATCTAGCAGCTTTATGTTGACGAATCATCCAATAATCGAGGCTCGGGGGTAGGAGTAGTACTTATCTCACCAGAGGGATTTATTTGGGAACAGGCTCTGAGGCTCGGTTGGAAGGCTTCTAACAATGAGGCAGAATACAAAGCATTGTTGGCTGGCTTACGCAGTGTCGAACACTTCAGCACAGAGCAACTTCTTATTTTCAATGACTCACAACTGGTGGTAAACCAGCTTTCTGGGGTCTATGAAACACGAGACGAAAGAATGGCAATGTACGCAGGCAAGGTCAAAGATCTACTCAAAAAATTTCGATCCATACGAGTTGAAGGAATTAGTCGGGACAAAAACAGCCATGTTGATGCTCTGGCTTGCCTCGGATCATCAGTAGATACCAAAGATGCTAGAAAATTTTGGGTTGAGTTCGTGCTGAAACCAAGCTTTGCATCTCCAGTCCTCTGCAGCAATCTAGAGCCAAGCTGGATGGATTCGATACTTGCTTTTCTAAATCTAGCACTCTCCCTGAAGATAAAAAGGAAGAAAACAAAATCAGACATAGGTCAGCTCAGTTTTGGATCTCACAATCTGGAAAGTTGTACAGACGCTCCTATCTCGGCCCTTATCTTCTATGTGTGCATCCAAATCTGGTCTAGAATGTTCTCTACGAAATTCAAGATGGGATTTGTGGATGCCATGTTGGTGGAAGGTCACCGGCGCACCGAGCCCTCACTCACGAGTACTGGTGGCCGCGGATGCAACAAGATGAACAGCAGTACGTTCAGAAGTGCAATAAATATCAGAGGTTTGCTCCACTAATTCATCAGCCAGCCAAAACCCTCATTCCACTCACCAGCCCATGGCCTTTTGCC